GTCTACCAATTTCCTTTGTTGTTCTGCTAATTTCGTATTTTTGTTGTAATAATTTCTCTCGGTCTTAGCTTTAACTAAATGTTCTTTAAATTTTTTCAATAAATCTTTCGCTTCTTCTTCCTTGCGAGCATTGTATTGTAAGCCGTTCCGAAAACGTTGACAAGTATCGCATAAATCCGTTCTTGGACTCATAATTTGAATATAAGGCGTTAATTGATGCCATAACTTGCGAAACGCATCATATTTTAACAATTTCAACGTGCTATCGTTTTCGAGACCTGCAATAAAATCATGATAGACTGATTTGTAATTCGTTTCAGCTGACAAAAGTGTAAGCGATTGAGTAATGCGATTGACACTTCTACCAGGACTTGGTAATCCATATATTTTAGCATAGTTTTTGAGAAAGTTTTTCACAACTGTAGCAACGTTTATATCAATGGTTATTTTGGTTTTTTATCGCGGTATTCGTTTTACGTTACCATGAACGCGCGGTATTATACCATTCGTCGCCAAATGATTTCTAACGTTTTCGAAGTGTGTGCGACCAATTTTTAACATATTGAGATAAGTTTTCTGACAAAGCGGCGTATTGCGATCTCAATAATAAAAAGTTCTTTTATTAGTACGCGGTTTCTTTTTAAGACGTCGACTAGCGGTTATTTCCCCGCCATTCATTGCTTTCAGCTGGGCCATTAAAATATATCTTGCTCGGATCTTGAAACGCCTCACGTAATTCGGCAAACCCTTCTGTCAGAATCATTTTCGAGCAACCACATTTGCAACCTGTCTCCAAGAAACGCATTATTTAATTGAACCATTATAATTATAGTTTTCCATATACGGGTAATCCTATATATATTTTTAATGCTTTTTCTTTTTCACGATTACTTCAGACTTTCAGTAATGAATATGCAAGATTTAACATATAAGATGGCAGAAGGAATTCACTAAGGTTTTGGCAAAAGAAAAGTCAGATAACTAAATTTGCTTCTTATTCTCTGGCTTACCAAACTGTACTTTCGTTTTCAATCAAGTCTGTATTTAAGCGAACGGCTCATATTCTAATCACTATTTCTATTTCAATTCAAACAATTTTTGAAAAAAGAAAAATTTATTTGTATCTAAACTAATGGATGCGAATATGTGAACATATAACTCTATCGTTGTATCGGGAGGCAATCATTTCGTCGACAATCATTTCACTGACAATCATTTCGCCGACACATGTTTACCAACATTATTTTGAAATTATCCATTTTAGGTAATTAATTGTCGGCGAAATTGTCGACGAAATGATACGGACCCGTTGTATCACAATCATATTATTTAGCATGCAATGTTTTATCCTAAGATAGCTTTATTAAAGAAACTAGCCATTTACATAGTTCCACCACTAGTTGGATGCAATTACTTTATGAACCATTTTCGTTTTTATGTCATTAAGTAGCGAGTGATGTCTTAATAAAAATGTTGTGCGTTGGACTAGAAACTAAAGAGCTTGATTCATTTAACATTTCTGTCAGTTGTCAATAAGGTATCACTGAGATACCCAACTCAGTGTACAAATCTCCACTTCCACACAGCCGAACCTTGTCCCAACTACTATTAATACATATTTCCACGCTGGAAAAATCCTGTGAACACACAACATAAATGACACCTGATTTCAGGTTGCGGGGTCTACCCACACCACTTCTAATATCCACGATTGCATGATGCTTAGCACATTTCAGAATTGAACCATATAGGCCGTCCTCCTTCATCTTCTCTCGATGCTTTTCCAGATTTTCACCATCTCGAACTAGCTCTATCATCCAATCATGGTCATCATCAACATAGAAGTCCACCCAGCCCTCCGAAGCAAAAACAGCACCAACGTCTGGAGAAATATGTGCATCATTTGGAAGCAGTTGCCTTGCTGCATGGTAAAACTCCATTTGCCACACTCTCTCCAGTAGTCAACCATCACGACCCATGCAAAGGGTTTTCTTGAAAGTCTCCGGGCTCATTAATTTGAAGGCCTTCTTGATAAAATCTTCGAAAGTATTTGTTAAAGTGTGTACACGGGTTCTAGATCCAAGACGTTCCTGAAGATAGGCTGCACGGACTAGTGGTGATGTGAAGTCAAGTTTCCTGTTTCTCAACTGATATCCTTGACGGAAGTCTGAAAGAACATTTGTTTTGATCAGACGGTCTGCGACTGCACTGCGTGTGTCAATACCACCAGGTTTGAACAAGACTTTGTCGATAAGTTGTTGTTCTTCTTCAGATATCGCTATTACGTCATGACATGCTCGTGTCCGCTATAGTAATAAAGAAGTTAATATCTCTAAAATCGTAATTTTCGATCATTGCCTCACCTTAACGCCTCGATAGAAATCATATGTTTGAAAAATTTGAATATTTTCTCAAATGTCAACGGTTCCATACCCTGCTGTCGAAATCGTAAAACAATATCATTCAAAACGAAAGAGATGAGCCCAGGATGGCACTTAGTTGCTTCTTTCACATAGTTGGCGAGTCGGGGGACATCCCCTTCAGGAACCAGCTTCAAATTGGAGCGACAAAAAACACTAAAGAAATCTGCATACTCCTGTTCAGTATACCGAACGTCTTCAAAATTCCAAGTATTAATTTCATCCAAGTCAAAAGGAGATATAGTTTTAAGATAGCCTGGTCCACTATATGCTCCGCGATATCCATAGGATGCAAAGGCAACGATGTGGAGACTACCGCCCTGTAGAACTCTCTTGACTGGTTCCAAAACCTGTCACCACCAAATAGACAGGTTGATTTACCTTCCGGCTTGTATAACACTTGAATTTCATCCATGATCAGAATCGTTTGTATTTTGTCACACTCATGAACGAAGGTATCCCATGACACCCCTCCCATATAATACTCGAATTGCCGTGTAAAATCCCAGTCTGATTCCTTCCTTAACCATATGAGCGATATTCGAAATATACGTAGTTCATTATGTGTATTGAGTAAGTAGTTCTCATAGAGTTGTGCAAGTGACGTCTTTCCAGACATTGGGGGTGAGCGCACGAGCAAGAATCTTACATTCTGAAGGTGACTGTGTAACTTTGTTACAGTTTCCAGCCTCTTGAACGTCAAGTTACTATTCACATCGACACCTTCAAAGTTTGTAAACGCCTCCTCCCGATAAGTTGTGCCACCGATTTCTCCTATGAGAGATAGTTTAGATGGAATGTTTACACATCCTTCGGAGAAACGATATGAAAAAGCATTTACCTAATCTCGGGGTATAACCGAATTGTTCCCTTAGCTTCTGTATGCGACCCGGATCGGAGAGAGATACTGAACCTAAACGCGGGAATAAAATTATTAAAAACGTAGACTTTTAACGTTGTGTCTTTTCACGCTATGCCTGCAGTGCGCGTTATAACAGCATTCGGACTATTCTCCCTCCGTTGCTCAACTTGACCCAAACGTATCGTATCTTGCTTATTTGCCTTCCAAACGTGCTTATGTATAACCCAACCTTTGCTACGACTCTGCTCTATGTCCCAACCCCAACGCATGTCGTAATGCATTTCAACTATCCTCCCAATAAACGTGTATTCATTTTACCTTGCTGTGACTTGAGCCATTTTTCGTACAGTGCAGGATTCTCTTTGCGCATAAATTCGAGAGGGTCCATGTTTTGATGTTTTTGTGATCTAGTGAATGGTAATAAAGAAGAGTCTGGCTCTGCGCCTGCCCAACTCAGCCCTGTTTATACGTTTTACTTACACAAACATGTGATACTTCTCAAAACGAGAAAGTTGAGTCCAGCTCAGTTTTCGTATCAAATAATTTTTTAAAATCTTTCCATAGATTTTCGACGTTCTCTCGGTATTTTCGCTCACTGAGTAGTTTAGCGGGTTTGGATTTTACTTTAAGTTTTCCTGGCTCGACTGCTTGAATTATTGCTTCAAGCTTTTGGCTTATATTTGTCGAGCTGATTGTAAGTTTTATAATGCAGAGAGAGACCGAGAATAAGTCCAATAAATAGCCCGCAAAAAAATTCAACAGAAGTGAGCATTTTGTGGATTGCTTTTACGGAACAAATACGTTTGATGGTATTGTTTAAAATTTGTAATTTGATTGATGATTGTAAATTTGTTTTTTAAGTGAAATGCGTGCGAAATTGTGCTGGCTTTATAACCAATTCCAGTTCATTAAACGCCGATCAGAATTATAAGCGTTCATTATTACCTGAAACAATGGATTTGCCGATCAAACGGTTTTTGCGCATCGTCTCCGAAAGTTTATTAATTTTCATACTTACTCATTATTTCTAATACGATAATGGTTTGCTGGTCATGAATTGTGTCAGAGTTGCAGTACTTGGAGCAAATGAACCAAAATTATCATATTTATTGTCATTCTACCTCAAGGAGGATATAGAAATTCCATCCTGATTATTGATGGTAATCTAACAATAATAAAAGAGCAACTATTTGCTTATGCTTCAAGTATTCGCTTCTTTCTTGATTTATCATCTGTTGGTGTTAATGCTCGTTTATTAGTTATAATTTTCCTTTCTTCTTGATAATAATAAATTTTATAAGTAAATTTTTCTTTATCTAGATATTCCTCAAGAATTTTGGTGTCATTTATTTTAAAAACATAAGGCGCAATTTTCTCTCCTTGTTCCTTTTTTAGAATGTTTCTAATGGTGCTATAATTCTTTGGTTTCATAGTGGACTTAATATAAATTAGTTTTATATTAATATTTTTATATATAGAGGTAATTCTATATTAATCACATTATGGTTTATATTCATCACCTTCTGGTATGATAAAGTGAGCATTAAAATTAACCAGTCCATAAGCACCATTCTTACTTCAAAATGTCTGGTCACATCATAATCAGTCTCTCATTTATAAAATGTTCACTTTTACTTTGTCTGGTTTTGTTGCAGCATGCCCCATATCCACTTTCTCTGAATACTTTTTGTATTTGGCATAACCACCAATTCCAATCTGTTTAATTTCATAAAAATCAGCATACTGCATATACTGTACATGTTTATTAACCTGCATATTTGTCCAATATTGCATCTATGTTATAGTAGAAAACTAAATAATATTCCTGAGTAAATGGTTCTTGATTTTGTGTGTCCTTTATTAAGCACAGCTAACGAGTAAATGGTTCTTGAGTGATTCCAATTATCCAAACATTATCAGGAGTTAATATCTTTGGATATTCCTTGGTCAGCTATTTGATATTTGAGTAAACAATACAATCATTACCAATAATTAATGTAAAGTGCTTTATATATTTACATGTGAAATAATTTACCTGATGAAATTAAGTGACTGATTATCATCAATCTGCTTAAGTGCCACTTGTGTCTGCTACAATGATAATAACAATGTGCATCCATTGTGCAATGAGATCATTTCTTGTATGTCTGTCAACAGTGCAAATTTTTTTTGTAGTTAGTTTTTATATAATTTTTGGTTTTTTCCAGCGTTTTGTGTAAAATTTATATAACCGCGTTTTTTTATATAATTTAATTTTATGCTTTATAGAATTTATCCATTGTATATAGACATCCTCTGTTCTTGTTACACATACTGGCCAAAAGTATTGGTCACTCCTTGAAATTTACTAATAAACATATTAATATGTAATCATATGTGTAACATAATACTGGCCACTTCTTTGAATGGCTACTTTACAATGATAAGAAAACGAAAAGA